TTCATCCACCCAGTTTCCTACTGAAGAATGATTGTTACAAAAATACTTATTTATATTGGAACAGAATGTATTTAAAATAATTGCAGCCCCTGCTCATTAACTCACATTATTTCTTTTTGGTAGTAATTTGAAGCATGGGAGACAATAAAGTTAAGTTGTAAAATCAGGGCATTTGCAACTATTGAAAAATTGGAGATTCTTAAGATGTTATGAAGACATGAAGAATATAAGCAAATTTGGGATAAACTGAAGGCTCAGACTGAGCTTAAAAAATTATATCTTTAGTTAAAAAAAAAATATTTGTGCAAGGCCTCTCAAAAGCTGCATGCTGTCAACTGTTCCCGTTCTTTAGGAACATAAACAGGATCTAGGGACAGCTTGTGCAAGAAAACAGTTGGAATACTGGAATACTATAGTTTTTCTGTAGCCAGCTTGTTTTTCGTCATCACCCTGTGTACGAGAGAAGTGTCAAGAGGTATTATGAAAAATTCTTAGCCCATTTAATCACAGTTGTAAGAATAATTTAGTATATTTTAAAATTCTAGCCCTGGAATGTTTCAACACATACATTAAAGTTTAAAAAGATTCTTCAGTCAATGCTTCAATAGCTGGACTCTTCAATAAAAAAAAAATCTTTTTTTAAAAAGAAAAAGTAGGTACAATAGACAATACTTATGGTAACAAAACTGCACTATGCTACACAGTCTTCATTTATTCTTCATTTATTCTGTATTTGTATCCTAATTCTGTTTCTCTACTTCTTTTTACATATTGGTTAAATATCTAATTGATAATCTATTGGAGTTAAAAGTATTTTAAAATAAATACTTTAAAATAAAGTTATAAATAAAGAGATAATATATGATAGCAAAACTGGGAGGCTGTTGTTTTGGAAACTGTATAGTCTATAATTTAGTTATTTAATGCTATAAGTGTAATACACACACACACACACACACACAGAAATGATATCTTTGTTGTAGATATTAATAAATATAACTATAATATAAATATAAAATATTTCTTTGTAAATATAAAATATTAAATGGAATATTTATAAAGATTATTAATGAATAAGCATGTGCAAATCCACATGGTTTTGATTTGTTGATTACCCAGGACAGAGAATAATACTATTTAATTTTGAAAAATACAGAGCTATCATAAATTACTGAATCAGTTGTCTAAGTCAGGAAAAGCTATCCTTACCAAAGTATCCATTCTTCCAGTGATAATATTAGTATCTACTAACTCGACTTTCTGTTATCATTAATGCCTTTAGAAAAGTTACTTCAGTCTGAATGAATGAGAACAGTATCCATGTTACTATATTTTTATATATGTTATTGCTATTGCTAGAAATAGTAAGTGTTCTCATGAAATAATTTCTATTATTAAAGAAATCCTATTATTAAGAAGAGTTTTAGTATTGATATAATGTGAATATTTTAACAAGGTGTGTAGCGCAACTTACCAGAATGGGCAATTGGAGATTTTAGTATTTTCTTTGTGTAAATCAAAAACTCTAATAGAAGTTACTATTGCATCTGTGTAGGTGTTTGGGTAAATATATTTGCTTCCCACTGATGTTGTGGCTATGTGTGAATGTTTATTTTATTTATTTATTTATTTGATTTGCCAATTGTTTACAAGATAATAAGTATAAGTGTATACATAGTTGTGAATACATGAAATGGGTACATATAAGAAAAATAAAAGAAGAATAAGAGAAACAATAGGACAGGGATGGTAGGCACGTTGGTGCGCTTATGCACGCCCCCTACAGACCTCTTAGGAAAGGGGTGAGGTCAATAGTAGACAGTCTAAGGTTAAAGTTTTTGGGGTTTGGGGAAGAAACTACAGAGTCGGGTAGAGTATTCCAGACATTGAGTATTCCAGACAATGTTTGTATGAGTACATTGGGAAGCACATATGCTGTGTTTTAGGTCATGTGATCAGGAGGGAGAAGCGATGTGGGCTTAGACTGGAGAAATCATCAGCATTCTGAATCAGTGCCAATATATTTTCTCCTGGGAATCCATTTGTGGTATTTTTCTTTATTGTTTTCTCTGCAGCTCTCAGCATGATCCAGTCCATTTTTAAATTTCATCTTTCTTTTCCCTGCATTATCAAATGTGTATCTTTCAGAATTATTCTGTTGATGGCAGACAGAATCTTAATTGACTATCGATGGAATAACAATATCTTAACAAAGAAACAACTGTCCAAATATCATTTGTACCTCATTTTTCTATTGTCATTTGCTGTGATAAGTTTGTATATCATTTTAACCTGTATGCTTTTCCTCTTTTATATTATTAGAATTTTAGATGGGATTGACTTGAATAAAGGGAAAAAGGCTACAAAATTAATCAAGGTCCAAAAATTTTTTAGGATATTTTATGAATGATCAGCCAATATGTAAAAATATATTTATTTATTTTATATTTTGCTTTTCTACTAATGAAAGCACATCTGCCTAAATGTGAGGAAATTACAGTATCTAATTAAAATTTAGAGACATTTAGATCCTACATGTTAAATGTTAAATGTAATTTCCTCCCTTTTTTCCCCTCCTTTTTTGGACTTTTTTCTTTTTTGTGACTGTTAGGCTTGAATGTCATTTTGTTTGTTACTGTTTTGTACTTTATTTTCTATGATAAAACAATAAAGAGAAAATTTAGAGACATATTAGTTTAAAGCATATAAATATTGTAAATCAATCAATCAATCGTGCCCACAAGTTCAAGCTACTTTAGAAACCTGGTTAACTGGCATGTTAATAATCATGCCAGTTAATCATTAACATACTTTGTTTTTCAATCGAACAATATAAAAAAGGTGAGGGGCTAACCTTGGCTTATAGTGCAACCTGGTTGTTAAATACTTGCACTCTTGTCTTTGGTCAATCATCTGACTGCAGTATTCTAGAAAAGCAAAAAAAAAATGGCCCCACGTAGAAACGCTAGTAGTTCAGGAAGCAGTTAACTAAGTCTTACTTACATGACATATTCAGCATTGTAATCATCCCACTTGTGCAGTCCTAGTCCTTTCCATTACTAAAGCCTTTAACAGCATATTCAACTATGAGCCTAAATCTTTAAGAGGAGTATAACTCCTCCCAGAATGCTGGCATTCATATCGCTCTGTTAAATTTTAGTCTGTGTGCCCAAGCTGTATTACTCAAATTAGATACTTTTTTGAAATTTTAAAAATCCCTTTGATTCCAGGAGATATTAGATTGTTCGGCATGGAAAGTAAATCTCAAATATCTCTCATCAGATTGAAGTACATATTAAGTATTCATTTGATTCCGAACAGTTCTTTATCCTACCTACTACAGTAATGAAGTTAATCTGAAGATAAAATCTTGCATTGGAAAATGTATTAGTATTTGTGGGTATGAACAAGATACATATACATAAATACATATACATAGTGTACAAATTCCTAACATGTAAGACTGATCTATAAACTTATAGGGATCTATAACTAAATAGGAATAATGAAAGATGAAACTCAAGGCTTATTTAGTTATATTATCTCTGGCAAAATACAAAAAAATACTATATTTTTTGAATACTCTATCTAAGGTCACTCAAATAATACAAAATACGAAGAGAAAATTTTGCACTGGTGATTATAGATTATCTGCTACCAGTTATCCTTACACAAAATTGTAAGTGGCAGAGTGGATTTTCAGAACTAAATCTACATGCACATGATTGAATGCACAGTTTCAAAGTTAAAATTCTCTCCTATATAAGATTCATGTGACGCTAGATATATTGTTTCACAGGAACTATCTTTATGTGTAGAGAAAAGCAAATATTGATTATTAAATGGGGGTATATTGTAATGTCCTATCAAAATCTTTTTTCTTACCAAAACAAATGCTCTTATGAGACTTCATTGTCTGCTGTCTGTACATATCCCAACAACTCTTTGGCTATATGAACTGATTGTATATGCTGATTTTGAAGGGGAGTTTTGTGTTTTAATATTTGTAAATAACTGGTATCACATTTTGCTGCATTGACTATAGTAAAAAATTAAGTAGGATATGCTGTTATTTTGTTTTTGATGGCATATTTTTATTTTTTATTGTTATTCTTGCTTTGGTGCTTTATATATATTATTGTATCTGAAAAACTATGCAGCATTATTCCTGGAATGGCATTACAACCCTGAAACTTTGACACCCCTATTCACCAATGTATTGTATATTTCATTTAAAAATACCCACAGTATATTTAATCCTGTAAATATATGAGCACAACTTCTACCCCCTCCCCCAAATTAAGTAGTTATTGCTTATTCCTTTGCTTTCTTACATAGATTTTACATAATTTTGTCTGAGAAAAGAGATTTTTAAACAGTTGTTTAGGATAAAATTGTACATTACATTTTGTTTTTCAATTTTGTGCGTGTTACAGTAAAATATACTACAGTCTTTAAAATGTGAATGTAATCTGCCTTAGCAACCCTGATGATAGAAATACATCAATAAACTGTGAAGATTTCCCATTTAGTGCATATATCTGTATAAAAGTGCAGTTCTTTTTTCATTGTAATTTTGTCCTAAAAACCTCGTGTGTGTGTGTGTGTGTGTGTGTGCGCGTGTGTGTGTTATTGCTCATTCCTCCCACAATCATGTGTATGTAAATTCATCTATTTTAAATATATATATACTGCCTATTATTTTAATAAGTTAGCTGTTGATATAAAGATTCGGGAAATGTTCCCATCTCCCCCCACCTTTCAGAATGCTATTTGCGAACCTTTATTTGAGAGCTATATTTTTCTACTCTGAAGTGTCTTCTTTATTTCCTTTCTTAGTTACAAACTGCTCTGAAAGAGCTTTTCTAGCTAAAAAAAAAGAGCTATGCTTGACTGATAATGCATTGCTTTGGATGGTGAAACATTATGAAAGTTTAATTTTTAATTAAATCTGAAATAGCAATTATTACTGAAAGAGATTTTAACCTGTTTCTTTTCAGAGTGCCTGAAGTTACATTTTAGATGCTGAAATCACTGCACCTTAAAAACAAAAAAAAAAGGTTGAATTGAATTGCATTCCTGTAAGTAAAAGATTTTCTAATACTTTTTGTCAAACACACATAAACAGAATATGTGGATCTAGGGATGTACATCTTATATATACTTACACAGAAAAACATGCACATATCAATACATAGCAGGAGTTATACCATATTATTTTGTTTGTGCTTCCTGATTCATATGTAATTATGAATGTTTTAAACCTTTTTTTTCAAAGGTCAAAGCAGTGTTAAACGTAAATGAGAATAGGAAAAAGTTTCTTGGGAAGATTCAGATATGAAAAATAACAAGATGTGTAATTCCTTGTTGTGTTTATTTTGGATATCTGAACTTTTGCACACCATGGTCAAAATAGTACAGTTCATTCCTTTTGGACAACTAAGAAATTATTTCCAAAATCAAAGATTTTAAGGACATTAAGTTGCAGTATCTACTTTTAGTTTATTGTTAGAATTCTTTAGCTCCACTAAGTAAATCCATGGGCAGAATAATGCCCAAGATGATCAATATGAGGAATCCATTTTCACTAAGTCTTATTAAAGACTTAGTCTTTAATAATTTAATTGTTATTAAATAGTTAGTAACCTTGGCAGATTTGTTTATAGTTGGCCATGTATTTTCTAATAGATTCCAAACTATGTTTTACATTCCTTGCTAAAATGCAAATTAGTGTACAATTTTTCCTTCTTTTGCTAATTCCTTCTTTTTCTAATTGGGAAAATGTATTTATCAGGAATTGCAGAACTATCACAGTGTTTTTGGAACTGTTTCTTTTCATACATAGAACTACATCTTTATCCTTTCTCTCTAGGAGTAGTGAACAGGATTAGTGGACTTAGTTTTACACAATTATGCAAGATATTATTTGGTTTCATTTCTTTAAAATGCTGGTTTCTTTTCCTTCTTTCTCAGTTATTTTTATGTATGTCAACATTCATTATCCTACTGTGCTTTCATAATAATTCCAGTTCCAATGTACAAAATTGTGTTCTCTGTCATTTTCCAGTTTATGACTTCAACTCATCCATCACTTCATGCAATTCATGACTATCTCTTATTCTTTGTCTTAGAACCTTTATTCTTACCTGTAGGTTCCATATAATCTTGCTTTGCTTTGTCACATTTCTTGCCTTTATGATCAGCAAACTGGTTTTCTAAAATATGGTGGTTAATCAATTTTTAATAAGTACCGTTAATCTATCTGCTTCTTCTGAAGTAGTAAGAATGCTAATAATAATAGTATTAATATAGTTTTTATGTTGTTTTAATTCTTGAGAGGGAGCCACACAGAGTTTGGTATAATATGGGTGGTTGTATAAATGTTTTAAATGATATGTCTGATATCATTTAAATTTTCTTTACTTAACAGAATTTTCTTTGCAGTACACAAATCTACCTTTAGCTAATTTCATACTTATCTTTTTTGGATGTATTCCTAATTGATACCCCTTGATAGTTGATAACCCTTACTTTTATAGCAGTAAGCTTATATGAAAATAAACTGAAATGCTCATTCTCAGTTTACTCAGCATGGTTGGGTTTTACAAGTACTTAATTAATTTTTGTAAAAATATATAAAATTGATTTTATTGTATCAGAGTTCATCTAACTAAGGAGTAAGCAAGTTAACTATGGCTTCCCAGCCCCTCTTTTTAGTGTGTAGAATATCTCCAGAATAGGCAATACAAATGTTAGACAGTTTTTTGTGCTTTTACTGATGCATTTGTGGTGCTTTTTGCATTTGACAATGATTAAAGAATAAAACAACTTTATTGCAAGACTCTTAACTAATTTTTTTAGTTTGTAACTCTTCAAAATGAGATAGAAAAAAGTTAGGAAAACATGACATTGTGGTGACATCATCTGTGATTAGCTATAGTTCCTAAAAAGACTCAGATGAAAAAATAAGTTATACTTCATAATCCCTGGAGAGAATTTGCACAGCTGTGATTTAGCTAAGTAGACAAAACTATTGATAATTTTATTACTTCCTTATGCTTTGAAATGGAGGAAACAGGCAAGTGAATGATACATTTGTCAACTCATCAAATATTTCTATGGTCTTTTTAGAGTTGCCAACAGAAAGGGAGGAGGAGCAGTGCGGCAGTTTGAAAATCGAAAGTACATTCCATAAATAGTTTTCAAAGATAGTAACTAGGTGATTGAAGTTTCTGCCAGGCAAAATTCTAATGGAGAACATAATTGATGACTCTTGGCTACGGATGTGTCCCATTGGAGAATATGAATTATGATACACCCAGGGGCTGAGGGGAAAACCAGGGTCAAGAGACAATGAATTATGTGTCTCAGAGTCGGCTACACCAGGCAGTGCCAGACATTTTAACTCCCAATAAATCCTTTTGAAGTTTTGGAAGTTTGTCTCGAGACTCATGATTTAATTGGGGTAACTGCCGGAATCCTGACAGCTAGAGTTAGGCAACTTTAAAAAGACCAAAGAAATATTTTATGAGTTGACAACATTTAACGAATTTTACTTCAAAATAAAGAAGTTCAATAAAATGGAGGATGTAGTTTCTAATAAAAGCTTACGAAATCCTACATCCATCCTGTACTTCTCCTCAAAAATGGGCACAACCTTCAAAAGCTGCATATCTTGTGCAAGATAAAATATTATGCTTTAACAGTTGTTAGTCTCTCTATATAGTTCTTTTTTTCTTTCTATTATATTTTATAAACATAGACACTTTTTACTGTTTCACTACAGTGATATTTATGTAACCTGATTAGAAATTATTGACATCATACTATTTATAAAGATTAAAGTATTGAACATATAGAAAAGGGGTGTCAAACCTGTGTCATCACAGCATTGTCATGTGACATATCGTGACTTTTTCTTCCTTTGCTAAACTGGACATTGGTATGTAAAAGGAACTAGAGTTAAATGATATCTCTAACAGAATAGTTTGTTTAAATGTAAAAATGTTTCTGCTGTAACTTGTATGGGTAACCTGAAGCATTATAAAAATAAATGCATTATTCTAAACACTCAGTCTATTTCTTTGAGATGTACTCTTTCCAGCCTTGAAGGTGTAAATCCAATCTGTTTTATGACAACTAAAAGGGGATTGCCTCTTGTTATTGAATTTATTTCATTTGAAGAAGAAAATTCACAAACTTCTTTGAGTTGAAATTTTCTTTAGGTATCAATACTATATTATCCTCTAAGGATCAAGTAGCTTCCCAATCTATAAAATAGAGTTCATCATGTGTTGCAACTATTTTAGTAGTTCATCTTCAAAATATTTATAAGAGACTAGTAAACGACCAGGTCCAGGGATTTTCCTTATTTTGATCTTTTTTATAGCTCCCTTATTGTTAAAGGTCTATTCCTCCCCCCGTTTTTTTCTGTGATCTCTGATAAATTTTGTTTCTTTAAATAGAATTTTTTTCCTGGCTCCTCCCTCCTTCTATCTGTCTGTCTGTCTTTTATTATTTTCTACAAATAACTCAAGGTGATGAACATATCCAACACATCATCTTCTTATTTTTTCAGTCACAACCTGTAAGATGGGTTGGGTTGAAAGAGAGCAACAGTGTCACACAGTTTTATATAATTTAGAGTAATATAGATGAAATATGTTTGCATCTTTAAATTATCAGTTATTATGTTATTTTCATCATTTGCTTTTAGTATATCTTTCTGTTTTTCTTTGTTCACTTTATACGTCAATCATTTCCCTGCTTATTTACAAATTCAAAATTAATTTAAGTTGCATAAATCTTTTTTACCTTCATTTTTCTTACTGTTAACAAAGACAACCGCAGCATTGTGACTTTCCTTTTCTTCAAGTTTGCTGGATGAAAGGGGAGAAAGCCTTGCCAGCTGTTTGATTGAGTAGCTGCTGTACCAACTGTACCCCACCTGAGATCTTCCTGCTGCTATGAAGGTGCTATTCTTCTGGCTGCAATGATGTGGGGCTTGGATGTGTAGCTCCTATAACTTCCACATGTTGCTCTTCTCTTCCTTTCTCTAGGTCCTATTGACTTTTGGACCTTAACCATTTTCACTAGTCTACTCCATTAGCCTAGCCTGCTGTACTTATCCTAGACAATTGCCTGATCCAGTGCCAAGTTCCATCACTGATCTGGATTTTTGCCACTCCAATTTCCTGGCCACCTTGGCAACTGATCCCTGCTGCAAGGAATTGTTGCTATTGTTGATAGCCATTATGAATGGCATTCCTCCCAGAACTGGCTCCCATTATTGGAAACCCATTGTTAATTGACTGGGTAGCTGGATTTACTTACTATTACCATCTGATGCCTACAGCAATGTCTTAGGCATGGTAAAGCACTCCAGAACTTGGAAGCCTCATCATGACTCAGATTTTATCAGTGGAAAGAATGCAACTCTGTCATTTTTTGCCCTTGCCCAAAAACTTTCTCCAATGTTCACTGTGACCAACTGTTCTTAGAAAAATGCTCTGTCTTTTTATGGATGAGCCAGTCATGCAACTAGAAGGCTACAAAGGATTTGAATCTAACTACTGTCTCACAATAATTATTTGTACTTTCTTATGACTTCAAGATTGTAGCTACAATTATGACTTTAAAAGAAATAGCATACTGCACTACCATTTTTGGCCAAAGTTTTACCTTGTCAGAGCAAAATTTCTAATAAGCAGTCTTCCCCTGCTTGCCAATTTTTACTTTTAAAGTAAAGCATTGTTTGTCACTGTGGTATTATTCTAACAATATTCCTGTTTGTGTTCTCTTAAAGCATGATATTGCAGCAGACTTTACGGGAATAAATTTTGGCTACCCAACAGGCATTGTTCACAGATATATTAGTGCTGTACATGCTGACTAACAAAGTATGGCAGTTTGACTTTTTAAGGTATACTTTTGTGACACCTAAGGCTTTCTTGGCCCTTTCTTTAGATACTGTACTTTGAATTACTTGATAGCCATTTTTTGTTATGTGTGACAAATGGTTCTTCCAGGTTGATGAGATGTGCATATTTTATTGTTTCCAAAGCAAGAGATCAGAAGTGTG